AAAATATCTGATTTTTGGTGCAAGTTAAACTACATGTTTCCATTTTGCAGAAGATATATTTTTGCTCCAGACTCGGGATAACAAAAACCCAGTGATATTTGGACTCTTCAACACTACAAGGTATACAGATATGATATGGGGAGATCGTGGGATCTCTGATGTACAGGCTAGAAGTCCCATACATCTTATTAGCAAATCAACAAGCCAATTAGATGATAATTTTTGGGAAGAATGAGCTGATATAATAAACCAGGATTTAGTCCTGGACATCAAAAAATGGTTGTAATTGGTTGTATATGCATCATTCCATCTCCTGAAGGGGCTATGTCCAGATTGAATTTGTTTATAGATGATCACAATAAGCCCTTGTCTGGATCTTATCTTTCATACAGTAAACAGTAATTGGATAAGCTGATTTAGACTAATATATGCAATGAATTTGATAGGATAGACTTCAGAATAATTTGGCCATTTTTGCCCTTGCTTCCATTCCTTCTCTTCTTTTTTAGGAATAAAACCAACAATACATTAACATACATTCCGGACCTTCTTTGAAACACTAAACAATTTTCATAGCAACCCAACGTTGTTGGTTGACAATTAAGTGCCAACTGCCTGAGAAAGCAAGTAGAGCCGCAGTACTTATAGACATAGGAAAGCTGGCAATGTGGACACCTTTGTTCTTTATCATCCCTTCTCTCACACTCAAGCACCCCATCTTTCCTCTCTTCAGGTAATGCAGAAATGTAGCTTCTTACAAGAAGCAGCCATGAACAATGGAAGTCAAAGGTAGCCAGCAGCTTTTATTTCTTAGGAAGCTAAGACCTGAGCAAGGTGTCCACAGGAGGGGAGGTGAAAACCTGTGTCATACTCTGTTCCTTACCTACTTGTGTGTGAGTTCATGCCACAAGTTCAAAAGGGTAGTATGACATCACAATGCCCATTTTGTTATTTTGGAGTCATTGTGATTAGGAACGGATGCCTATGGGCCTCCCTACAAGTTTTAGATGTGGCCATACAATACTTGTCAATTTGTAATGCTAGTGTGATAGAAGGGCAAAATTATTAAATACATATTAACTGTATTTCATTAATTTTAATTACCATAAATGAAATTACATTTATATTTTGGAGAGTGTTCCCTAGTATTTCACTGAGAATCAAGGTGGCCTTCAGCTCAAAAAAGATTATGTAATACAGCCTTAGCAACTGTAGAAAGTAGGGAAGATTACCTTAATGGAGATATGCAAGCCAAGGCAACAAGGGAGTAAAACATTTTTTAAGACCAGAACCTCCACATAACATAGTGAAGTGGCTCAGAAAGACAATTCCCTAATTCACTGAACTATAAGAAGGAGGAGGAGGAGGTATAACAAAATCAGACTTGCAAGTTTCTGTCATTGTAAGCAATCTCAGTATAAGTAGTTCTAGCCTTCCTGGGGAGTTGGAGGTATGGCCTACCTAATGGGGCTGATAGCAACACTCCGTCTACTCAAGTTTCCTATCTCTATGAACTGACAATTCTCTTCAGGTAGAGCAGAGAATTCAGCTAACTTGATCTTAAACATTGCACATCTACAGACTGGTTAACTACAATTAATACATTCTACAATTCTAAGTATATTTTGGGGGGGGAAAGTCCTTCTCTGAATTGACCAGAACTTATCCTTAGCACATGGGGTGAGAATAATAAGATGTTTGCAGCCATAGAAAACTGCCTTATACAGAGACAGACCATTGGCCCATCAAGTCCTGTACTGGCAATATTGACTGTTTGAGGCATGGCTTTGCAACAACTAGCAATTTCTAAGCTTTTTATCAGATTCCATTATTTCCAATCATCTATCCAGAAGTTTCATAAAATCATCCCTTAGTTACAATATCCCCAGAGATGGGTGGCAGCTCAGTTAACAAGACTGTCACAAAATTATTGCCCACAGTCTGTTTGAAGTTAATCATAGAGCTCCTGCAGATAAGGAAATGGGATCAAGTGACTCCCACCCCCCCCCATACTGCTGTTACCTGGTGCTTCCTGCTGCTTCACTTGCAAGGTTTTCCTGCAACTAAACCAAGAGGAATCTGAGACTTGGTGTAGTTGCATCCACTTGGTAGTAATAGTGTGAAAACAGCAAAGGGGAACATCTCATTTTATTGATGGATCTATACTTTTCTTTGGAAGAGCCTGTAAAGTGTTGCATTGACAATGAATGCAAAAGTTTAAATGCCCAACTTTTGAACAGAAGATTCCTTGACTTCTGGGTATTGCAAAAACAGAACCTTTAATGGAAATTGTCAGTGGCACAGGAGATTTAAGAATGGTAAGAAGAAGCAAGGGGTGAGGGTGGATAAAGTCATGGGCACTTGCATGCCCTTGAAGAATCTTCTCTGTTCAATGATATTATAGGTTATGACAACTTTCCATGAAGAACTTTCACTTTATGAACTTCTGCCATTTTTATTTTGTAGTAATATATTCCACGGATATGCTATATGTGTATATCACATGGTTAGTATTCGGGCAGCTTTCAATGGGCCATACGCTCACAAAGAAGGACCTGAATACCACTGGTCTGTGTATGAAGGCAAAGTACCCTACCCAAGACCTGGATCGGTGAGTTTAAAGGGGTCTTGCATGTTTTATGACCCTTTAAGTGGAACATTATTTTTTCTGTTTTAAAAGGCAGGTCTGGAAGAATTCACACCATATTTCTGTGTATATGCTTTGCTTTCTCTCAAAGAAATAAATGTATATAATTTACTGCTCTGGGGAGCTGAGCTTTGTAAATATGGAATGTGATTTTGAAAAACTTGATCCTAATCAGTGTCACCTTCACTGACATCATAAGCCAAGATTTATTGCAGCAGGAACAAGCCACAGCAGCCAGGTGTACAATCATAAGTTTGAATATGTTGGTTCATTTTTTATTTTAAAAGATGCACGAAACTGCATTATGTCTTCTTCAAAAACCACAGTTAAAACAAATTCAAATGAATTTTGAAGTCTTAAGTTTATGCATGTCTCCCTTCATTCTCCCAGTTCAGCTGCAAGAAAGAGATGGGAAGATTTCTCGTCTTTTTTAATTGACCACTATTGTTAATATTTCTTTAATCTCATCCTCGCAGAAATGCAAGGAAGCTTTGCACTGAAGGACAGGATAGTCTGTTTGCATAGTCACTGTAGATGTACATATATTCTATTTCCCATTCTTAAGAATTTGAATTATGGCAGATTGTCCTTAGCCAACACCTTGACATTTATTTGAGCTGCATGCCTAGGCCCCGTGGATTTTAACAACATTGCAACACTGTGCTGAGGTTCATAAGTGGACCCTTTTCAGTCATGCTTCAGGCCCAAATATGAGACAGAAATGGCATTGGTCACACTCATGGATGATCTCTGGCAGGAGTGGGATGGGGATAGTGCAACCATCCTTGCTTTTCTTGACCTCTCAGTGGCCATGGTATCCTTTCGGGTCAATTTAGGGAGTTGGGAGTGGGCAGCACAATTTTGCACTGGTTCTCTTGCTTCCTCCAAAGTGGGTCCCAATTGGTATTGATTGGGAATGAGAGGTCCAGCCCACGGCCCCTCCATTGTGGGGTGCCACAGAGTTCAGTGTAAGGAGTGCCCCGTTCTTCAAGAGAAACTCCCGTGACACGTGTGGTTCACAAAAGAGGTTTACTCAAGTGTAATGCAACAGTTACAAACAAAGCCAGGACTGGCTTGGCACATTTCGTTGTACAATTTATAACTCTCCCCTTCCCGTGGTTCGCCCCGTCGTCAGGTTACAAGCTACGGATTATTGATACCCCAATAATCCCCCTTAATGTTCCAAATGTCAGGTTCAGCCAGTATCCCATTGTCTTAGATTGCCTGCCCCTCCAGCGTGGGCTTGTTTCCTCGGGGTTCTTTCAGTTGCGTGCCACACCGGGGTTTGCTTGATCGTGCGGTGATCTCCTTTCCGCGGCTCGCGGCTTCGTTCTTTGTCTCATCCACGCCGCTCATCAGGGTGGATACAAAACTTCCACTCTGCGTTTTCCTGTTACTGGGCACAGGTGGCCCATTAATCAGCCGCGGCTCTCACTTCCTCTTTCTCCCCGGCTTGCGAGCGGGCAGTACAATTGGCTCAGCGTGGCTGGCCGGTTTACCTAGCAGTGCCACGCCGGCTGAACCTGACATTCAGTACTATCTCCATCCTTTTTAATATCTACATGAAACCACTGGGTGAGATTATCCAGCACCATGGGATGAGGTATCATCAATATGCAGATGTTATCCAGTTATACATCTCCATCCCAGGTCACCTGAGTGATGCCGTGATCACCTTTTCATGGTGCCTGGAGGATGTGGGGGTCTAGATGGGGTGCAACAGGCTTCAGCTGAACCCTAGTAAAATGGAGTGGCTGTGGGTTGGAGGCCACTCTGCATCTGAGGATTTACCATCTTTGGTTCTGGATGGGGTTGCACTGCCCCAGACAGACCCAGTATGTAATCTGCAGGTCCTCCTAGACTCATGACTCCTGCTCGGGGAATAGGTGGCAGTTGTGGCCAGGAGGGCCTTTGCCCAACTTGGTATGGTGTGCCAGTTATGCCCTTTCCTGGATCAAGAGGGCCTCCAGTCAGTCACTCACACCCTGGTCATCTCTTGGTTAGACTATTTTGCAATGCGCTCTACATGGGGCTACCCTTGAAGAGTATCCAGAAGCTACATGTAGTTCAAAATGTGGCCACACAGACAATCTTGGGTGCCCCAAGGATGGCACATATATAACACTTTTACTGCGGGAGCTGCATTGGTTGCCAGTTTGCTTCTGTGTCCAATTCAAGGTGTTGGTTATTACCTTTAAAGCCCTACATGGCATGAGTCCAGGTTACCTGAGGACTATCTCATCCCCATCACATCAACCCATCCCACCAGTCAGGCAAAGAGGGCATGTTGTGGACCCCGGAAGGACCCAGGAGGAGAGCCTTCTCTGCCATTGCCCCCACCCTCTGGAATATTTTCCCCCTAGAGGTACGGCGGGCCCCTACCCTCTCAGCTTTCTGGAAAGGACTAAAGACCTGGCTCTGCCAGCTTGTGGGGCAATAAGAGTTTTAACAAACCATGGGGGTGGCTGGTGCCCTGATGACACTCCCCGAGCTTAATGTTCACTAGTTACTATCAATCCTTGGAATATACTTATTTATATTATATTTTTAATTAATTTTATCTTTTCTGTAAACTGCCCAGAGTCACTTTTTAACAAGGTGGGTGGTGACAAATTTGATATATACATACATACATACATACATACATACATACATACATACATACATAATACATATATACATACATCATAAATAAATAAATAAGTGAGCAGAAACACTGGCAGTCCTGCAACTGATTCTAAACATTGATCCATTCTGGAATAAAATTCTCACTGGAGCTGATCAGATTGTTGTTGTAATCACTCAAACCCATCAGCATAATTGTTGAATCTCAGAGTGGAGCTTTTGAAATGGCATTACTGAATAATATGAGAGAACTACCTGTCTGAAATATGACGACCTAGTTATCCTTTATAAAATGTAGACTATGTTTATCTCTCTCTCTCTCTCTAAACATATATACATACACAGAGACACGCACACACATATCTATATTGAGGGAGAGAGTTGGACATATTTACACACACAAAACACGCATCTCCAGCTCAATGTTATATTTTCAAATCTTGCTGGAGATAGAATTTTTCACCAGATTTGACATTCAACTCTCACTGGCTGAGTTGGTCTGCAGAAAACCAGATGTCTGAATTTCTGCTGAAAACCACAAGTTTTGCCTTTTATGACAAGCAGCTGATGAAAATTCTGCTGCTGGCTAATGAGAAAATACATTTCCAAACCATTACAGAGCAAATAGTTCAGAAGAGCCAAGTCCCAAGAAAAAGAAAATAAACACTGCCCCATTTGACAAGCGTTGGAGTTTATGACTGTCAGTTATAGTCTTGTTGCAAGTTGAAACTGAATGTTTCCAGTAAACATAAAGAGTATTTGATTTCACTTTATTGATCGAAAATCCAATATAAATGGGGAGAGTCTGCTACTGTGGCTGGGTTTGAAATGTTTCTGAAAAGCCACACTGTTTTCAAGATCCGTGGAAGAAATAAATGATTACTCAAATATTCCTAGCAGAATTCTAAATGGTTCCAATTAAAGAGTATGAAACAACTTTTGAGCTGAAGAATCTATAATGAGTTAAAGAACATTATCCTTTACTTTTATTGAAGGAGTTAAAAGCTTCCTGTTTAGAAGAGCAGCTATTTAAGCTGTATTAGGCTGGAATCTAAACAATCTTACCTGTGAGTCAGCCCCCTCTTGAAAATAAGCAGAATTACTTTTCATTTGATACATAGAAGACTGCAGTGTAAACTAACTTACTTTAGTTTGTCTGTTTGCCTGTTTGTTTATTATTTACTCATCAAATTTATACCCACATACTTTCAGTGGTTTACAGTAATTAAGAGCATCAAAGAAAGACAAGTGCAAGCCAGTTAAAATATCAATTGAATAAAAACATAAAACATCAAAAGAACCCTAAATCATCATAGGAGTCTTGTAACCCCACCTCACTCCCCACCCGGCCTCCTGAAGCAATTTGGTTCTCCATAGTTTCGCAGAAAGCTCAGCCTATGGGGCCAGTTTGACTTCTAAGGGGATGCCATCCCATAATATAGGAGTTGCCACTGAAAAGCAGCATTCTGCCACTGTGTGCAGAAAGGAAACTATCATTGTTTCTATTTTCCCACTCATCTACAGAAATGTATGCATTCATGCCCATATGTAGGAAAGTAAATCATGTCCTTATGTTGCATTTTTATAAGATTATTGTATACTATTGGGGATAACATAATTGTTATAGATGATACTTGTTTCTTTTCCCAATCTTGGCAAGCTTGATAGTCATACTGGCTACATTTTAAAATGGAAGATGTTGCTGATTAATGACAGATCAGTTAACAATAAGATTGTAGCCATTGAGGACTTGAGTACTGTAGTTGCAATCCTGGATGAATAGGACAATTTGGCAAAAACCTGATTCGTACTTGGCATGTGCCTACTTTTAATTCCTTGAGGTAATATATAAAACTGCTTAATCACAGGCACAAATCTACACACACACACACACAGAGCCATCAATGTCATTATCTTAGTTACTTTGTGTTTTGCAGTGTGCCAGCAAAGTGAATGGGGGTCTTCATGGGAGCACCAAAGACTATCCAGATGAAGCAATCCGTTTTGCTCGAACTCATCCACTGATGTATCAGGCTGTTCGGCCTGTTCATAAAAGACCAATTCTTGTGAAGACAGATGGAAAATACAAACTCAAACAAATAGCAGTAGATAGAGTAGAAGCAGAAGATGGTCAATATGATGTCTTATTTATTGGAACAGGTAAATGAAAAAGAGGAAAGGTGGGTAACCAAGATTTAGATTTCCCTATCCATGGGTGTCTGACTAGTTCCATTTGCAATGTCCCAGTCCTCCATGGTTTTGTTGCCTCTAAACCTTCAATGCTGTTTCATGCCTAATGCCTACTTCTTACTTATTCCTAGCCAGTGATTTCTTCCTGTTTTCATCCTTCATAAGTGCCATACCTTGTAAGAGTAGAGAATGTACCTTGATTTGATGCATGGTGAGCAGTGAGGTTAATATTCTTTCAATATTTTGATAATTGTTTGATACCATTCTTTCTTTGTTGTTGTTGTTCAGTCGTTAAGTCGTGTCCAACTCTTTGTGACCCCATGAGCCATATTGCGCCAGGCCTTCCTGTCCTTCACTACCTCCCTGAGTTTGCTCAGTTTCATGTTCACCATTCTTTCTAGCTTCCATCGTAGATTCTCTTCTCATTTCCTTGCTGTCCCTCAACCTTTGCTCTAGGCCCATCCCTGTGCCATATTTTTCTGGACTAGCAGACTGGATATTTCAAGCTGGAGGAAGAGTTCTCTCTAGGCCTGCTGTTTGTCAGGAGTCTTCTAAATGATGATTGTCTCAACTTAAAGTTTTACTGAAAGATCTGCAGGATCAAGAAAGGCTCTCTTTGTATTTTCAGACTAAATATTTTGAGAGAATTAAGTCTTCGTGGCTTCCAGAGCTCATCTCTTGTAAAAGTCATTGAAAGCACTGTAGTGGCACAAGTCCTTTAAAGAACAAGTTTATTATGCTGTGCCATTCCAGTACAATCCAGGAATTAATGCACTATAAGTATGATCTATGAACCATGAAGGTCTGCAAGCTTTATGTATGATTTCAGAGGATAGGGATAGTCACTTTCCCTGCTACTCAAGTAAGGTTCTTGGTCCTTCATTTTCATTTGCCAGTGTATACAGTTGACCAGGTCTGCCACACCCAGCAGGTTATTTCCTGTTTTGGAATATTTAAAAGATTGTTATGTCCAGCCTGCCAGTTTTTGGCCTTAATTTGCCTTGATTCTTTTACCTCATAACAGTATAATTAAATTCTGGATTTGAATCTCCAATCTGCCAGGAGCCACATGGGGTCAACTTAGGCCAACTAAGTTAGCCTTCTTCTTGGGTTCTAGCAAATCTGTGATAGTTAAACTGTTTAGGAATCAATTGGAAGAGAAAAAAAAAAGGCTGTTCCACTTTGGACCTCCATCCTGAATGTCAGACCTTTAGACAAAAGAATCTGGAGGGCTAATAATTTCCTATTATTGTAGTGGTTATTAGGCATGCTTCAAAAATTATGAATTATTAGGAAGAAGAGTTTAAGTGTCACATGAGCAAGGCACCCCTCTTCTATTCATTAAAGCAGTGTAACTTTTTTCAGATTTCTGTGGATGCTTTTAGGGATTAAAGATAAGGTGGCTCTGAAAGCAGCAACACTTTCTTCAGACTCATGGAGAAGCCAAGGAAAATGGATGCTTCAGTGAAGAGGCTGCACATGGGCAAGGCCCCAGGCACTTCCTCCGAGTGTGCACAGCTGCTGCTGCTGCTGCTGCTGCTGCTGCTTTTATCCTTATTATTGCTCCTTTTTTCCCATTGGCTCTTTGAATACCATACTGAGCTTTCTGAAACAAAAAAAGTGGGATAAAAATGTAACTAAATGCTACTGTTGTTAAACCTTGGACAATTGAAATGAGCTGGGTGTGGTTCCTTTTTCTGATGTTTTGAATTTTCATTTACTTATTTTTAAATGGATTGCAGATTTGAATTTTGGTATATTAGTTTCAAATATTTTTATCCTTAGATTGACAATTTTTTTTACCAATTCCAAATTATCTGATATACTTTCTTTCACATTTACCTACAGATAATGGGATTGTCCTGAAAGTTATTACAATTTACAACCAAGACACAGAATCTATGGAAGAAGTGATTCTTGAAGAGCTACAAGTGTTCAAAGTAAGTGATCATTCTACACCTGGCTTTTAACACTGGTCTCACCACTGAGACTACCACACAGAACACAAGTACACTTGCACTCTTCCTGAAATGGGAGGGTCTTGCCACATGACTCACATATCTAGTTGTTTAGAGTACTTGCCCATACTTATTTAGACCACTGTAATCCATCCAGAAGCTATAGCTTGCCCAGAATGCAGCAGTATGGGCAGTGATGAGGGTGTCGCATTATATGCACATGATCTCACTACTTTGTGAACTGCATTGTTTATCACTTGAATTCTGGGTGAAATTCTGAGTGCTGGTTATTACCTTTAAAGCCCTTCATGGCTTAGGGTCTGGCTATCAGAGGGACCAGTTTTTTCTGCCAACCCAGTATGGTCTGACATGCAGGTGCATTCCAGATCCCATCAATTAAGTAATGTCATCTTGCAGGACCCAGGAAGTGGGCCTACTGTATGGCAGCACTGGCTCTCTGGAATGATGTCCCCTCAGAGATTTGTGTAGCTCCCACTCTTATGTCATTTCAGAAACAGTTGAAGACCTGGCTGTTCTCCCAGGCCTTGAGAGACAGAGTGATTTTGGTGCCCCATTCTGTTGTGAGTGATTAATAGATGGTACCCTACTCTCATGGTCAATTATGCAGTTTTTCTATGTATTTTTAATTGTAAATTGCCCAGAGTTGTGAAGTCAGGAGGTCTTGAGATTTGGTTAAATAAATAACACTCAGAAACTGCAATTGGTAAATACAGCTTTTCCAGGAGCTTTTTCATGGGTGGTTAGATTATACTTCCTGTGATGATCACCAGGAATCCTTAAGAAATATGGCAGGCAGGAAAGGCTCATATAAACCTCATTTTCAGCACAACCCAGCTGTACAGCCTATCTGTAACTACATGTAGAAATGGCTCAATTTTTTGAGGCTCAGAATAGGGAAACAGTGGCAAAAGGCAATGTATTTTTGTAATATATGTTTTAGTGAATGATTCTTTCAAGCCTAAAAATAGAACAACTGTAATTACTACAGATCTAGGTCTTGTTTTTCCCATTTCTGTCTGCATTCAAACCAAATTCCTACTTAAAATACTAAGGACTTTACTCAAAATTCTTACTTGAAATAAGTAAATTTTGTTTTTGAAAAAAAAATAGTTGTCCTTAAAAACTGGTTATAAGCTAACTCCCTTGGTTATTGATTATCGACAACTGCTGTTTGAGGACTTCTCTACATGATTTAATATTCCTTTCTGCTGGTTTAATTTCTTCAGAAATCCCCGGTCCTCCCACATAGCCACATTGCTATCTACTTTCTTTTCTCACAATCGTCTTGTCCTCAGGCTCATCTTGTTAGGGGTTTCCATTCCAGCATTCAACATATGGGGCAGTCCAGTTAATTGAGAAGGTTTATACATGGAATTTTAGATATAACTAGTTCAACATTTTGTTGCAGAGCTAAACATTGGCTGTGTTCACACATACAGTAAGACTTTGGGGCTTAGATCTAGTTAGCTAGACAGCATCTAGCTAATTTTGTCTGATTTCCAAAAGCTAAATTGAATCAGTCCTGGTTGGTAATTAGTTGGAAGACCACTGGTAAGCTCATAAATCTGGTTGAAAAGTGAAAGCAGAAGGCTGTGGCAAACTACTTCCATATTTGTTTCTTGCCAAGCGAACAACACAGGTTTCCCTGGGAAATCAGCAGGGCCTGGGCTTGACTTAGAAATGTCTTTAATAACATTCCATATCACTAGCTGAAGAGAATGCATAACACAGGTGGAACATGGCACATGGAAGCACACCTGCTCATCCATCCAACCTGTGATAATCTTTCTTCTCCACTCCAACTAAAAGGAGTGAACTTCAGTCATGAGGCAGCTGCATGTATAAGTATTGAAAGAGAATGCTCGCAAATAATTACTTATATCTATTGTAGAAGGGAGTAGAAATGCTAAAATTTCTAGATGAGGCAGCATATGAATAAACATGCTTCCTGCTCACCACATAAAACTTTGTACTGTCTGATAAATGGTTGAAAGTCAGAAGGAGGGTTTCTCATGTGGTAGATTACAAAGCAATAATTCCTTGCACAAAATGTGTAATACTTGGATGGACCAATCACCAATATATAGCTATATAATTACATGGATGGTCTCTTTCCTAATTAAGAAAAATGTTTTCACTTTCAGGTACCAGCTTCTGTTATTTTTATGGAAATTTCTTCCAAAAGAGTAAGTGTTGCTCTTTTAAGAAAATTATTTTATTCTTCTTAGCAGTATGAACATTGAATTTCTGCTATGTAGAAATTCAATGATAATAATAAAATATTTGCTCTAAACTGTTATTATGTTTCCAATTGCCCATCAGGCTTCATAACCCCAAGAAACTGGAATATAAGGCACCCATTTTATAATCCTTGCCTTGTAAGCTCTAAATTTTTTGTAAATCTCATATGCTATGATGGCTTTACAGATCAAGATCCACGGACTGATGTTGTGCTTTAGTTTTTCAGGTCAACTCTTGGCTTAAGGGAATGCAGCCAGGCAAACATTCAACAGGTGCAGATTCCCAACTTAGATAGAGATATCCCAAAGGAATATATACCTGATGCATCCATGCAGTGCATAGTGCTTCCCTAGAATTTCACTTTCTATATTGATTCATCAAGCAGATAGTCAACCAGTCCATAATCTATCTGCAAAGAGACCACTGAATGAATGAATAATGTCTTCAGAGAAATATCCTGAGCATGGGGACAATCATGTCATATCAATAGTTCCTTCTACTAAAATGGGCCTTTTCTGTTTTAATTGCCATTATGTTATTGAGGGATATGTTGATTGATTGATTGATTGATTGGTTGATTGATTGGAATTGCTACCCATGAAAATGCCTTGAGATTATTTTGCATTTTAAAATATTTCAATTGACCAAAAAAAAAAAAAAAAACCCAGCAACCTAAAGTAAAAGAAAAAGTACTGTGTGTAATGGTTGCCAGTATTTGAAAACACATGTAGGTTTCACAGCTTCCATACCTGTTACATCTCAGGAGATCTGTACCATATTATATGTACCAAATTCCATGGTGCTAAAGTGATTTTTTTTTTAATTTTACAAGCAATCGTAATTTTGGAAAATGAATGTAAAAAAGCTAATCACCTGATAATATTTATAATGTTTATAATGAAAAGGACAACTGAGTTGGTAAAGCAAAAAGGACAGCAAATGTCAAGAGAATCTTTAGAATGGTTGAAGGAATACAAAGAAGACACATTAATGAGTATTTTAGGAATGTTTTGAATTCTTTACTATTTAATTCTGACTTTAGCACTGGAAGTACCTGCTTCTCCAAACAAATAGAAACCTAGCAAGTCAGAGAGAAAATTTCTAGCCAAGCTACCTTCTTCATGAGTCAGATTTCTACGTATGTGCAGGATTTTTTTTTTCTTGCTTTCTCCATGCAGGAGCATCAGAATTGTGTTCCCCAGTTTTCTCTGAAAGTATTCTAAAAAAAAAAAAAAAATGAGCCACTGCAAAATAAGCCAGAAGGATCCATGCAATACCATTTGAAAAGGAGTCATTCCAGGATGAAGAAAAGTCACTAGGATCTAAGCTAGACTTGAGAGGTTCTTTATATTTTCACCCCTCCTAGAGTTAATTTTTACCACATTTCTCATTCTGCAATTCTTAGCTGGTGGCAGTTGTGGTCCCAAAATGACTCAAGGATGTTACAACTAAATGTTAAAAATAAATTATTTTTAAATTGAATTAAATTGAATTGAACCAACCAGTTTCCACAAGATGATTTTGAGCATATACCCATCATTTCCAATGCCTTTGACTGTGTCACTCACATCAAGCTATGACATAGAACATCTCATTGTCCTGATGTGAAAACTATACACAGGTCAGGAAGCCATAGTCCAAAGACAACACAGCGAAACAGACTGGCTAAAGGAGTAAGACAAAGCTGTATACTCTCCCCTTACTTATTCAAACTGTATGCTGTATATTGAGGGAATGGGCATGATTTTAAAGTTGGAGAAAGAAACATCAATAATCAGTGCTATGCCGATGACACAAATGTAATAGCTGAAAAATGCAAATGATCTGCAAGTTCTGGTAATGAAAGTCAAGGACAACAATGAAAAAATGGGACTAAAATTAAATATAAAAAAAGACTAAACTAATGGCAACAGGTATCAGCCTTAAAACTGATAATATTGAAGCAATATTCTGCCTTTTACGATTGAGTATCAACAGTAAAGCAGTTGAGAAATACACCATAGACTAGCACTTGGTTGAGTAGCAATGAAAAGATCTTAGAAAATATCTTAGAAAAGATATTCAGGTGCGGTGATGTGCATTTAGAAAGATCAGAATCATGTAGGCAATTATTTTCTTGTGATACTCATATACTCTATATGGAAGGAAAATCAGACTTTGAAGAAGCAGGATAGCAAGAGTATTAATGCTTTTGAATTTTGGGGTTGGAGAAGACCCCTGAGAATACCATGGATAGCCAAGAAAACAAGTGAATCATAGAACAATTCAACTCAGAGTTTTCACTCAAAGCAGAAATGACCAGGATCAGATTATATTTTGGACATTATACAAAGGCCTGGCTCTCTTGAGATGTCCATAATGCTGAAAAAGGTGGAAGAAAAGAGAAGAGGACAACCAGCAGCAAGATGGATGGATTGATTACAGTGGAGATGGGTGGTTGGAAGACCTGAAGGACAAGGTCTTGTCCTTTTCTCTCCTCCTGGAGAAAATCTGTCTATGTAGTTGCTAAGACTCAACATCCATTTGATGGCATATAATCAATCAGTCAATGTAAGAAATAAGTATCATGGAAAAGTGTGGTATCTACTGTCAAAATTATTAAGGATGTAATCTTAGAAATGAGAATCAGTTTGGTGTAGTGGTTTCTAGGCACCAGGCTAGAAACTGGGAGACTGTGAATTTAGTCCTGCCTTAGACACAAAGCCAGCTGGTTGATCTTGGGCCAGTCACTCTCTCTCAGCCCTAGGAAGGAGGCAAGGGCAAACCACTTCCAAAAATCTTGCCAAGAACTGCAGGGACTTGTCTTGGCAGTTGCCAGGAGTCAAAACTATCTCAAAGGCACCAAAAACAAAACCTTAGAAATGCCTCCTTAATAGTAGTAGTAGTTTTATGTACAACTAGTTCATGCACCAGTTTAATTCCAGGAAATAGTATTCGGTTCAATGCATATATGTGAAATTCAAAGCTGCTTTTGTGTAGATTATCTTTATAAAGTCAAAATTACTGCTTTCTTATCTCTATTCATTTTTCTTCTGCTTCAAAATACCCACTGCTTCAAAATACTTTTGCCACTGCAGTGCAACAAAATATGCCATATAAAATGAATTTTCATGGAGTGGTCTAGAATGTTAAATATTAATGTATAGTTGTGCTCTGCTTCCCAGAAAAACATTCAGATATATTCCCCTTTACACACGCACACACACGCACACACACAGCTGGATACAAGCTGTTCCAGATTTCCTTCAACTGTTATGTAACCAATCCCTCTTTCCTGATTCATGTGCGAAATGAGATCTTGCTGCAGCTGTTGATAAATAAAGCATGATTCTCCAAAGAAACACAAGACTTTAAGGCATCTAAAGCAAAATTATCAGATTCAGATGATATTCTAATTTTTATTTTTCTGAGTAGTGAAGACATAGGTGAACAATTTCATTACCATGGCAACATATTGTTTGCCTAACAAAGAAATATGCTAGGTCAACCCTGTTTAGCAAAGTTTGTCCAGAATTTTACAATAATCTATTTTTTGTTGTGTCACATCATATAAAAAAATCTCATGCCATAAAATGAGGTTTTATTTCATTATAACCTGCAGTAATGTTGTAGTTTCATTATAGAAGCATGAAGGTTGATGAAAAGATGGAGCAATGCAGATAGAGGCTAGTTTAAATCTCAGTTCAGCTGAACATTCTCTCATCCTCAACAATACAGACATAGACAAATGCTGGCTACTTATGTTAGAGGCTGTTGCAGGGATAAAAGCATAAGAAATGAACCACCTCTTCTTTTTTCTTTGCTTCAAAGCTAAGTTACGTCTTCAAAACTAAGTTATGACTTAGGAGAAGCAATACTTCTCCACAACCAATCGATTTCTGTAGTATTTCTCGAACATGTTCTATCATGCCATAGCAATGTAGGAACTGTTTTTTTTTTTTTTAACATATTGATAATATACCTTCTCCTGCCACTTTATTTGAAGCGATGGATCATCAGTATAATGGAGATGTGGTATTCATTGAAGGTGTGCTAAAGTTAATTGTGCTTTCCTTACAGCAACAAATTTATGTTGGGTCTGAGTCTGCTGTTGCACAGGTAAAGTTCCACCAGTGTGACATGTATGGAACAGCTTGTGCTGACTGCTGCCTAGCAAGAGATCCATACTGTGCTTGGGATGGGATCTCCTGTTCCAGATACTACCCAACAGGAACACAGACAAAAAGGTAAGAATCTTATCTTGCCTATGAAGTTATATGGTGTGTGCAAACATTTTGTACTTGAACTGTTTGGATTCAAAACACAGTTGTAAGCATGGAGCAGCTCCTTTGAGTGTGAAATTGACATCTCAATCAGTTTTGAAGTTGTTAGTGCTCAAAACATGTTCACTTTCAAAATGGAGGCATTTTGAGCAGGGGTGACTGCATAGCAGGTCAAAAAAATCAAGATAGTAGCTATGCAAGTGAAGTCCTGCCCCTTTTTTATAAATATAATAAAGATGGAAATGAGCAGGGCTTTGATCACATGGTCATGGCTACCATCATGACTTTTTTGACATTCCCTGCAGATACCCCTCATTTTGACCTCAAGAAACCTCAAAACGTTTTTGATCAGATAGCCCATTTCATACTCAAAACTGCTATTTAGAAATGGGGTGCTCCAAATTTGAAATTGTTCTCCAATGGTACACTTTCTGTAGGTCACATACCCAAGACTGGAAAGGTGTGATTTCTTTCAGCATCATCCATCTTTTTAAGTTAAATGGAAATGACTGGAAATCATCTCTTAAGAGGTTGGATGGCCATTTTTTTGGAGATGTCCTGGATTGACTGATGGAGGTGGACTAGACAATCCTCAGACACCCTTCCTGGTTGAAGATTATGGTCATGTAACAGGCTTATTCTGGTTACTGGATTAACTCATTTTCCCAAATTCACAATATATGGAAGCCTACATAAACCAATTCACACAAAATGATAAGCCATAAACATCATAATTCTGATTAACCACATGGTGTGAACATAGACTATGAATCTATTTTCAAAAATGTACCTTTTTATATAAAGAAACACTGAACTGAAGACTTTTAGCTATTGGTTTTATTAGCATTGTTTTAAAGGATTCAAACAGCAATAAAGAGAAAAGCACGGAAGCAAGTCAGTTGGGCACTTTTTTTCACTTGCATTTAAGCATTTCAGGAGCAATTATAAGTAATGTTTGAAGAAGAGAGAAGAAAAGAGTCACACTGATGTGCAATGTGCATTGATTTGCTTGAGATGGTTTCAGCAGTGGAGCATGGGATACATTGGACTGGAGAAGAAAGCAAAGCCGAGCCAAATACTCTTTCAAAGGCTGCAGGCATCTCCTCATTACCACAAAAGAATATCTAAGCCCATCTCCAAATGTTTTTCCACAAATTTTACTTCACTCCACCTCCATAAAAATATAAATGATCTGATAGGGGAAAACAGAGAGAAACACATTTCATACAAATGGGAAGAAAATGGTTGAACATAATCACATATCTGTCTTCGCTCATCTTTCTTTTGCCTAGTCCCTAATACAAATACTAGGTCCAGTTTTTGGGTGGCCCCCAGGATTCAGAAATAAGGGAGAAAGCTGAGCAAAGGGCAATGAGAGTTATCAAGGAACCAGAAAATAAGAAAATATTTAGCTTGAGAAAGTAAGACTGAAGGGGATCTGTTAGCACTTCAAGAACATGAAAGGAAGTAACTAAGAATGCAGGACATACTGTATAATAAAATGGTTATAACGAAGCAAATTCTGCCTGAAGAAGAGCAGTTTGATAACTAAACTCCACTGAAAAATTAATTACTCCAGCCAGGGTAGATAACCAAATTGTTTTTATAAGTCTTAGCAGATTGTTGTGTAAGTATTTTCCCAAATTAGTGATGACTAGAAACTTGATGTGGTGCTATGTGGCAAATTATTGTCAAAGGATTTATAAACCTTCCTTAGTTGTGCTCTGTAGAAATGAAAGTTGGAGTAAAATGTACCTTTTGGGCAAAAAAATATTAAATACTACAAAATGAATTAAGGTTCTATTTTTTGAAAAAGTGAAAACATACTCATTTTATCTAAAAATTTAAACCAAATGGGAAATCTCCAAAAGATTTCTACACTTTTGTTATAAGCCTTAGCCATCATTTAGGCAATTTTTCCTGACAACAACAAAGATGATCTCTCCATTAAACAAACAAAAATGTATTACTCCATCAGGACTGATCTGGTTAAGGATTGTTCCCCATAATGTACACCTTAATTGGATAATGTATTTTTATTGTCAGTTGGATGCTATTCTAATTGCATTTAAAAAATGAACATGTGACAGTAATCCAGCAAACCGATCATGAGTTTCCCCAACAGTTGTCCAGATCAGTGTTGCTTTCAGCACGCAATCTTTCCCTGGGAAGAATCTAAGGACAAATTACTAATTTCTCCTGAAATCAGGGAAAACTTTTTGGTCTCCTTCAGAGACTGAAGTTGTGCTCTAAAGATTCTTTAATTGCTTCCATTTGTTCTCCTCCGTAGAAGAATGACTGATTAGCACAATGAATAGAGCTTCTCCTTCAGTTGTAACAAGATAAGAAACATGCTTAGATGGGAAGGAAATTGTGATTATGATGGTTTTTTGCCATTTTCATCTGAAAGCAAAAAAAAAAGTAAAAATAAAATGGCCTTCACTTTACAACTTTGATGTGATCTGAATGCATTTCTATTTCAAGGGATTTGTGAAATCCTTCCCTAAAGTGCATTGTTACAGAGGTAATATAAGTGTAGCCAGAAAATATGTACAATTATTCTCATCATATCTTCAACAACTGTATCCAAAGAATGTCAGACAATACTAGAGGAGTTCACCACCATGTGGATCAAGTTAAATTCAGTGTTTGCATGTCTTGCTCAGCCATGACACTTCCTAGGTAGTGTTGGACGAGACACATTTATTTTCAATTTGCCGTACTACCTCACAAGTTTATTGTGAAACTAAATAATGATAAGAAGGGTAGCGCTTTGCAGCCTGCTATTTATAAAAAAAATACTACTGAATGTAGTGAAAAGATAGAATTGTGAACAAGGAAGTCCCTGACTCGGCTCTCACTTCTGTAATAAATTGCCAGGGAGCCCCAAGTATGTTTCTATCAGCCTCAACCATCCTTCAAGTTAACTTCCCTTAACCTCCCCAAACCTACTTAATATTTTCATGTCTCATTGACTTAGATGAAAAGGAAAATGGAGTTGTCCTTAATTCAGAAGACTCTTGATTATTAGGGTATCTTAAATTGTGTCTAGGGAGGAGCATCCTCTGTAGAATAGAGATGATGCCTTATCTTGCACAGATCTTCTTACCTTTACTGAGATAATTATGGATCAACTGTGAATACTCTTTAAAATTACACGTCTGTGTTTGTATGTGTATTTGTGATCACACCTACAGACACAAATCCAGCAAGGTGGGAGCATTTACACCACTCAAAAAGCCAAGCAGAATTGGAAATCCTGTGTCTGTAAGAAATCACAATACTATCCTGTAAGAAGGCCATGGCATATTGTTGATATGAGGTTGATTCAAAGACTCTCTCTCTCTTGCGTGCATACTTCTGTGGCATTTAAAGGGCTGTTTTTCATCATGCCACCATTTCTAAAAATGAAGTAAAGCTGCTCCCTTGCTTTGCTTCACTTTATTCCAAAGGCTCGCCCACCAATTCCAAAGGGCAAAAGAGTCTTCTGGCCTTCACAGAATCTTCTGACACTTCCACTCAGTATGGAAAATGCAACACCATGCGTGGAGCACAGCACCATGATGTAATGATCACTCCTCCCCTTCAAGTCCCCTTGCCAAGTCATATTCTTCTCTAGCATTTCACATTTCAGGGCCTCCAAGGTAGCCCCCATCAAGTCCTTTGTCAGACTTCATCTGACTGGTAATAAAACTGGCAACTTCACAAGCCATCATTCAAGGACAAACAATTTAATAAGTTATGTTTATTGCAAGTGCTAGAAAAGCTGTTATTAACAATTGCCAAGAGAAAAATGCAAACCATATTCATAATAAAAGGGAGGGTCAATTCTTGCAGCTTTGTAACCCACAAGAAGCTTCCCGCTTTTGGCTGGGAGGAACAGCAGACACCTGTCCCTTGTTATCAGAACAGATCATTCTGATTTCAGTCTGTTTGCAGCTGACCTTGGCCAGATTTACTCCTTAGGGGTGTCTTCAGGAGGCAAGTAAATGAGATCACATGTGTTATGACATCATCAGACACAATGCACAATCTCATTTGCACGAAGGCATGATGATCCATGTCAAATCCCCATGGCTGGTGCTGGTTGCCTGTAGGGGATATCACAGCTCTCTGGTCTGGTGCACACCCCCCCCCCCCCCCCCAACCACCCCCCCACACCCCCCCCCCCCCCC